AGAGAACAGGGAGAGAATGACAAGCGATCCATGCAGAGTTTTTACTACTCTGGTTTGTTTTTCTCTAAACAGAATTTGTCCCACCTTGAGCATCTTTCCACGGTGAAGGCATTAAGCCAATTTAAGGAGTCAGTGAGACTGGAGAGAATATTAGAATGGTGCAATTAGAGTTGATTAGACATGCTGAAATGAAGTAATGAATCTGGATTTCTAACACCCCCATGAGCACACGGCAGATGAAATGAAGAGGGAGAAATCTTGTGATTGGAAGTTTTGAGATATACCAACTACTGGGCCTTTTCAGGCAGAAAGGGTTTAATATGTAGTGCACATGTGTGAACCGCTGAATAATTTAGGCTCTCTCAAAGCAGGGCCAATGAAAAAGGTTCCTCAGGGCTGTCTCTCATTGAGTTTTGAATGTCTCCAGTGGTGAAGTTTCCTCACTTTTCTTGACATCTCTTTTAGTGTTTGACCACCAAAATGACAAGTATTCCAAAGAAGAAAGAAAATGAGTCATAAACATGACATTGGTTCTGTGGTACGAAATGATTGGTGCTGGGGATCCCTACTCTATGAGCACATTGGACTGAGATGAAGACACTGAAAGGTGCCTGAACATTATCATTTTTTAGTTGTTATTTTTAGTTTCATGGCATTGCTGATCCTCTTGGGAAGAGCAAGTCTCTGTGTGAGATTGCATCTGCTGAACTTTCCAAAGGGAACTGCAATAATATTTAAAATAAATATAGAAAAGAAAGGAGGAAGAGTCCCTAGATAGCCCATAGGTCTGCTCTTTCCAGTCTACTTAGGCTGCCTTTGGAAAATCCCCTGGTTGACCCGTCCTCAGATCATACCACACTGACTCATCTCACCTCTCTCTTTTTGGCTCTTTACCCTCTGATCACAGTTGAATACCTCACAAATGTAACCTAACAATCATAGGGAGGGAAGCTTGCTTTCCCTGCTCATGTCAGGACTATCCCATTGCTAGATCTCTTATATTTCTCCTCCAGTGAGTATCTCAGATGCTTCCATCTGCAAGCACACAAATTTCCCTCATAGAGAGATTTCCAGGAATTATATTTCCTTACTTGCTTTAAAGAAATACAATCTGGATGGAAGCATGGATTTTTCCTCAAGAAACATTGTGTGCAGAGTAATATCCTTAAATATAGCTAATGGTTATTGGTTGCTCCAAAAGACTGAGGCAGCCAATAGGGAGGACTGATCTCTCTATGTCACTCTTTCTGGTGCCATACCAGCTGAGGGTTGCTTTGTGACAGCCAAGTGCATGAATTGTTATCTCTGCTGTGCAGGTGTGGCAATTAAGAACAGGTTGCTAGGAATGAAGCACTTTTGGAGCAGCAAGCACCATTAATCCCATCCTCCCCAGTGCTGAGGTACTTCAGCATCTTAGGAAATGAAAGGAACAAAATCTCTCTATTCACACGGTTCCTCACAGCAGCAAGGATAATGCAGCTTTTGTGGCATCTGTCTCGCTTTTCTATCCATCACTTTCTAGCTCTCCTAGCCGGTTTCCACCAGATTTAAGAGTAGGGAAGAGATCTCACAGTGTTCAAGCAAAGTTTTACCCCTTCAGTGAGATGGCCATATAGCGAGACCTTGCAGGAGCAGTCATTGATGGAACAATAGAAATGTGAGGTGAAGACAGGCATGTCCAAGCCAAGGCCTGGCCCAGCCCGCCTGTGGCCACCCCAAGATTAAAACAAGTTTTGTAATTTATACATATGAACAATGTTACATATTTTAAGAGATCTGCTCCGAAAGTAATGCTTCTTATTTTAAGATGCTGGCTAGAGGTGTAAGAGGCGGATGCTGGTGGTATGGCAACAGAGTTTGAACCTTTCCACCAATATCACTTTACATTTTGTTTCCGTTTGACTGATGGCAGCAGAGGGGCAGTCCAACACAATGATGTTTGACTTAGTGTATGGAGCAAAGATGTGGAATTTTATTCCCCCATGCAGAAACAATGGCACTCATTGACATTCACTGACACTTGCTGAATGTTTCTGGTGAACAAACAGTGAATGTGAGCACAGTGAGGTGGTGGGTGCTGCATGTCAGCAGCAGTGACAAGGACAGTGGGCCACCTCCACTGGTGCAGATTATTGTGAGTGTGGCATGCAGGCTCTTGTTTATCTCTGGTGAAAATTCATAGCTAATGATGATGACCATGGACAAAAATAGAGTTTGTAACTGAGAATGTGCTCTATTAAATAGTGTAATTGTGCTCTTTGTATCTGCTGTCATTTCCATGGAAATAAATAGGTGGTATTAACTTTGGGGTGCCCCATGTGTATGTGGCTCAAGACAATTCCTCTTCACTCAGCATGGCCCAGGCAAGCCAAAATGTTGGACTTTCACATATTAAAATTTATTAAGCATCAAAGAATCTGCAGATGAGAGATTAAGCCCTTTAGCAAGGTACCCAGACTCCTCTCTTAAGGGTCATTTGAATTTTCTGTACAGCTGAGAAGAGGTTGGAAAGGGAGAGGTGGTGGACCAGTCCTTTGGGATCAGCCTCTGTCAGTGGATTTCCTGTGGATTGCTCAGTAGGTGGAACAGCAGTGGCAAACCACCAAAACCAGCGCATATAAATAACATTTTAAAATTAATCATCCCATTTCCTGCAAGTGATAAGAAAATGTGCCTTGTCTGCAAGTAATTTGTAGTCATTCATGGCAATTTCTAATATTTAAATACTAGGTAAATTAATTATTTGGCATTATTTTTAGTTAATTGCATTACTGTAATTGCAATGACTAAATAAATCAATTACTTTTTTTAAAAAAAGCCTCGGGCAAACATGGTAAATAAATTACTTACTATTTAATGGGAATTACTTGATGTTACAGAAAACAAAGGAGGAACAAATCCTTTTATGACATCAGCAAAATTCAATCACTGTCTGGGGAAAGGGATTTCAGTGCAATGTTACATCTTTATTTAACTTCCAAGATAATGTAATGAAATAGTGAGAATGCACGGGAGCCATGGGTCCGGCCTAACCTCCACACACTGTGAAGAGAGGCTAAAACATAATCTTCTGAACCATCTCAAATCAGGAAAAACATCCAGTGGCCAGCGCTAGTGCCAGGAAAGATGTGACAACAGACGGCATTAGAAGATGCCTGGACAAATGCCACCTATGCAGGGCAAAATAAATCTAGTGATAGAAGTTGCTAAAGAAGGAATGAAGAAGGTTCAGAGAACACTGTTTTAATGGCACTGGATGGAGGTTCCTGCTAGGCTGCACCTTGGACACCATCTAACAGCTCCTCTCTGGGGCTGGGCAGTGCACAGGGAAGTAATGGGCAACAACCTCCTCCGCTTGACCCGAGCTCCACTTGTGCTGGTGGCCAGTGGGAGCCTTTGTGCCCATGGACTTGCCAGCAATAAAAATAACTGCTGAGTTCTTCCTGGTAATTTTCCCTCAGAGAACACGCTCAATTTGCATTTTTCTATCCAGCCAGCACTTTCACACAACTTAAAGGAGTTTAATTATCTTCAGGAGCTCAAATTATGTCTGACGAGCTTTAAATTGGGCAAGCGCTTCAGTAATAACTGTGAGAAGGCAGACAGGCAGATAAGGTATGCAGTGTGCAAACTCTGTCTCATTATGAAAGTGGGGTTAGAGCCCACCAGAGCTTAGTTTAAATAGGCTCCTTATTATTTCTGGTTGCATGTCTACTCTTCTTACTAAAGTTATGACTGGCTTTTAAGTTGCTTTGCTTGAGATGATGAAAAACCAAGCTAGAATCAGAAAACGTGAAATTTTTACTCACGGTAAATAACACCTCTGTGTTTCTGGATGCTTCAGAAACTAGGTTAGCATGTAAAAATAGTCTCTTTGGTGAGTCGGAAATCATCTCAAAACACTGAAGGAGGATGGTTACGCAAAGTCTAGTAAAAGAATGCCAGGAACATCATTACTTTTATTGTGGTTACGTGTTTAAAATACAATTACTCAGGGGAAAAACATTTTTAATGGGATATTTTCAGAAAGAAATGCCACGTGGCACATGCATGTGCTGACACAGGGGTACTGCTCCTGGTGGTGCCCCTCAGCCTGGCCACGCTGCTCAGCCTGACAGGACCCAATGGAGCTCCCTCCAAGTGAAAATCCATGCAAGCTGCCTGAATGCTAGCACAATGCTGAATGCTAGCCTGGTGAGGATCTCATCTTTGCTTGATTAGTTCAATTCCAGCCATAAATATCCCCTCGCCATACAGCCAACATGGCACTTTCTCACTGGGGACTTCCTGACAAATGCAGGTGGTTTCTCACAGGGAAGTAGGTGATGTTCTTTCCAATACATAAGCTGTTCTGCCAAACCTCAAATCTGTCCTCCAAAGCACTGGGGTAGTGGGAATCCCAAAAGGAAGAAGCAGCAGCTTTTGGAAAGTTTCATTTTCCAGAGAAGTGCCAGGATGCTTTGCCAGTGGGTAGCGCTCCCAGGGACATAGGTTTGCATGTGGTTCTGCCAAGAGGGAACAGCTGATATTGAGTCCTGCACCAGAAGAGGCCTGCTAGACTGCCCTTACATCACCAGGCCAAAAAGGGAAGAAATCTGGAGACAGCAGTTTTGAAACTTTTGGCCTGACCCAAGGAGATGCAGGGATCTCACCCATGTCTACTTTCACACCTAGCCAAAAAGGGGATTCTCCAGCTGCATACACATGGGTAATTTTGCTGTTTGCAGCTTGAACCTCTCACACAGGCCTGAGAAGCTCCCCACTGCCAGGTCATATCCAGGATGCAGAGCTTACCCTTGCCACTCCTACTGATGTGCTGTCAGAAATTGTTGCATTACAATTGCTGAACATCCAGTGTGCCTCAGTTGCATCCCTGATTGCATCAATTAACAACAAATCAAATGAGGAGCCATTGTGGGTTCAAAATAGACTTAACGAGATCTCTCTGTTGCCTTTATTTTAAAATGATGCCCCACAGCTGGGATGTAGATATTGCTGTAGAAGTTTATTCTTGTTGGTCTGAGCTTTGCTTTGGAACAGTCTCCTCTGCACTGATGCTAGGTGCTGCCCGTGAAGCGAGCCTCATAGCTACAAAGAGTTCAACTCTGATGTCTGGTACTGGAAAATTCTTGTTTTGAAGACTTGGAGTCACCTACAGAAGACAGCGTGCTAGAGCATAAGACTACTAAGGTCTGCAAAGTTCTCCAGTATTAAGGTAACAGTGAGTATAAAGTAATATATAATAAGATCTTTTTGGGCTGGGTAACCCACAAGCAGATTCAGCAGCAGCATATTCTGGCTGTGGCAGGTCCTAGCTCTGTGCTCAAAGTTTGTTTTGAAGAGTTCTGTACTATAATGGTAACGGAACAGTGTGTTACTGTAACTGGCGGGTTTTTTTTTTTTTTTTACTTTTTTATTTTTTTTTAATAAGCTTTTCCTTTTTCTGGCAAATACCACTGGTCACAAGATGCAGGTAGTGGTGCTGATGGAAGGAAGTCATCTTTCATCTTGCCTGCTGAATCCCTTTGGAAGGCTTCATTACCATGCAAATGGAGATTGTACCCAGCGTAATAGAAATACACCTGTCAGACTGCACTCATTTATAACATCAAATGTTAGCATAACTGGGATTTATAGAGCAGGTGAATTTAATCTGGGGCTGGTTAAACGTGGCCCAGCACAGGAAACAACAAGGGTTAATTATGCTTCAGGAATTCTGGCATCTTTCTGGTGAACAATTCATTCTGTTGGACATACAAGCTGCTGTGATACTGGGACACTTTTGACCTTGAAATGGCGGAGGAGATCTTTGACAAAGAAATTGCAAAGCTGACAAATGAGAGTGTAGCTGACATAGGTATGAGCAGCAATGAAAATATGCTGAAGTAAAGGTGGGAAATGAGCATCTAACTCAGCCATAATTTTGTAAGGAATTGAGTTGTTATCTGAGTTATTTTGGGGCAAGCCTTCAGGGAGACATCTTGTCCATGGTGATGAATGCAATGAGATGAAAGAAAGGAGGTTACTGATATGTCCTGCTGTAGGAAAGCTTTAGGTGACCCAAGGGCAGTTCATGAGCCCCTGGGCCACAGGCTGTTGAGTGCAACAGTACAGGCTGGAAGCCTGCAACATGCAGGTATGTGAGCTGGGAAACAGAGTGGGTGGGAATATCATGGGACCTCAGGATCCAGAGGAAGCAAGTGCATTGAGCATACAATGTTGCTCTTTCTCTTCCTTTCTGTGTGGAGCCCACCCTTAGGCATAACTGGCCTTGACTTGGACAGGGTTCCTGAAGACAGAGGTAGTTATCTGTCTTACTGGATAGGCCTAACACAGAAAGGGTACCTAGCTGAAAAATGGCTGTCCTGTTTATAGCTGTCATGAGATGTTAACTCCTCTGCAGAGTGATTTGTTCCATCCTGGGACACAATGAAGAAAAATGGTGCAAATCAACCTCCTGAAGTGTCTGCCTTCTCCATGACCTGCAAAGGGTCTTTGGGCAAGACAGTTTCCACTAGGTATCATAGAATCAGATGTGGGAAGGTAACGTGGGGCAATTTTTCCTCTGAATGGTAATACTATCTCATGAAAATGGAGTTGAGTTGCAGAAGATGCTCGCAGGTTTACTCTCAGCTGCCTGTCATGGAACAATATCCTGCTTTTGGTGTTATGTGAAATTAGCAAGGCAAGTCATGGCTATGTCCTGAATCTCAGTAGATATCTTGCTTTTTGTAATAGCCCTGAACTAGAGATGAATCAGCTGTAGGTCCTGCATCTCATCTACATCAATCAGCTTTTGTGAATGTGTCTTCGAATGATGATTCCAGGCAAATAACTTATTGACATATTAAAATTGGCATGTTCACAGTGCAAAGTGTTTGCCAATGCCTATTTATTGTATTTACAGTGGCAATACTGGCAGAAAGCCGGGGAAAATGAGTTTGGGCCCGATTAACTTTCAAAGGCCCTGAGAGAAAAAAGATGAAAACAAGTTTTCAATTCATACAGGAAATCACATGCAGAGCCTACGTGTTTAACCTGAGCTCCAGGATGTGTGCGCTGCTGGAAACTTAAAAATGAGTTACTGGTTTTTATGTCTAGATACGTCATAATAAAAATGTCTTGAAGTGCAACATTTTATTATGCTTTTCCAAGTATTTGGAAGGGACTAATTTAGAATGCCTCTGCCTTGCATAGCAAGTATTATTTATATCACTGCACTACTGATTTCCAGGGCTATTACCTTCTCCACAAAAGAAAATGAAGAACAGGTGGTCCAGCAACCAAAAAGTATTCCTTTAGTGGTTAATGTTAAAATGACCCCTACGGAACTCAAAAGAAAATTCCTTGGTCATAGTGTTGGTGCCTGTTTGTGGTTTTTGTTTCTTTTTTTTTTTTTTAATGGAACATAACCTTTGAAATAGTTAGGCTTTCTTATTTGTGGTTTTGATGTATCAAAAACATATCAAACACTAGATAATCAATTTCCATGTTCCCCTGCAACATTCCTTCCTTGCCCTGCTCTACAGAAAGGCACAGAGGTTAAAAAAAAAAAAAAAAAAAAAAAAAAAAAAAGTTTTTTATCTAAATATTTCCCTTAGAAGTATAGTTCTACAATCAATTGCATTTGTTGCTTTCTGTGTCTGTAAGCAGCAGCAGTAGTAAGGAAGGAAGGTGTAAACTTTGCATAGGAACATTTTTGATACACATACTATACATAGTTGCCAGCTTGGAAACATGCTGGGTCTGCAAGCAGAAGTCTCCAAATCCAGGGGCAAGAACTGATGAAAGCCACATTTACAGAACTCAGCTCACCATCTCTCCTCTTCAGATGTGTCTGTTGTTGCTGCCCCTTGTACCTCGTGCTGGGTTTACCTGCAACTGCAGTTACTCCTGTACTTGCAACAGGGCAAACAGGTCAGAAGGAATGTTTCAGTCACAGAGAATGTGCTGGTCTGGGGGCTGCTTTTCAGTTAAGCGTTCAAGTTGTTGAAATATGTCTTTTCCTACAGTTGTGCTTTTTTTCTTCTCTTTACGTTCTCTTTAATCTTTCTATGCAATATTATGTTATGATAGGCAGGTTGGGAATGGCTTTGAACACATGGGCTTGTCTAAGCATCTGTACCTCCAGCTCTATGCACAGATACAGAGCCTTGGGTATTCTGCAGGCATTTTCCTGGGATGTTAATAAATTAGACTCGCATTCTTTCTTCAGCTGCAATGCTGGTTGACCCCTTTATACAGTGCTAACCCAAGCACTGTAGAAATCACCTTATGCTTAATTGTCTTCCAGACAAGCTACCTGCTACAGGATTTAGTTCTTACAGATTTTTTTTCCCCTGTAGATGTTCTAAGCCCTGGTAACATATTTTAGTAAGAGTTTTTATAGCTTTGTTAGCAAATCAGTGTTTTCAGTATTTAAACTCTTTGATAATATCCTACTGAAGCCAAAGACTTTCTTACTGATTGATGTACTTAATTTTCACAACATCCTCTCTTTCAGTAGCACAGTGCAACAACACCCTTTGCAAATGAACAGAGGATAGATTGTATCTACAGCAGTACAAAAAAGAAAAAAAAAAAAATATAACTCCATGGTAATGCACCTTCTTCCATTCTTTGATCAGAAGTGGGGACCCTTAGCACTGGAGAATGTCACTGAATGCTCTATAATATTTCTTCCAAGACATCATTGTCTCTCTGGCATGGGAGAGTTTGATTTTGTTAATGATGCAGTTTTCCATGAGATCTAGAGGCTTAGATTAGGAATTTGTAGTTGGTTAGGGGCTGAAATAATTGAGGAGAGAAACAGATCAGTGTGGAGAATTTTGATTTTCTTCTGGAGAAATGCAACCTGGAAGTTCTGAACTTTTCCCCTGACCTTTAATGAGGGAGAAGGGACCCCAAACCCCAAATAATTTTTGGCAATGGGAGAGAATTTTCTGAAAGAACTGCCACAGCAAAAACTCTCATTATGTGGAGGATGGAAGCCATCCATTTCTGCCCATGTTTCTTTGCACTTCACTGAAGTTATCTACATTGATTTATTTTATTTTATTTTATTTTTTATTTTATTTTATTTCTCCAGCTAATCCAGACACAGCCCATCCTGTCCCCCAAAGTGCTTGGTACTGTTCTTGAGACAGAGTCATCCACAAGTTTTATGAGTTCACTCTCTTGGCTGTATTTTCCTCTTTGCAAAGAGAATGTCATGCAAGACAATTTCATATTCTTAATAAACTCAAGAAATATCACATCTGCTGCTTCCTCTTTATCCACTTGGCTGGTTACTCTGACAAGGAGTGAAATTAGAAATGCTTTGAGAGAGCTGGTTCTTGAATAATCTATTCTGGCTCTTTTTATCAGCTTGTTATTCCCTAGATGACTACAAAGGTGTTGTTTAAAATTGTTTTTCTGTCTCTCTGAGTATGAGTTTACTTCAATTTCCTGAGTTGTTCCTTGTCTCCTGAAAGGTGAACAATTTCGCTTGCTCTCCTCAGTTGCTCAGGTAGAGGGAATTCATACTGATAGTTCCTGAAGGCCTGGGGATGTCCCCAGTGTGGAAGGGAGAATTTCAGCTGTTCCTTGGGGCACTGTTACTTCTCTAGATATTCTTTAACCAGGTCTTTTCCTACTTTGGTCTTCATTCCTACATCCTTGTTTAAATGTATTAAGATGGAAGTCACAGTTTACATTTGCTGAGAAGGATGATGGAAACAAAGGTCTCCTTGGCACACCGAATTAGGGTGGAGAAGACTGAACTGTTACCAGCATGGGGAGTGACTGGGGTGCTCCAAACAGTTTCTCTCTGCTGATGAATTGAACATGAAGAGATCCATAATGTAGAATGAGACCAAATTACGTTTCCTAACCAGACATTTCCTTTGTAAATATTCCTTTGGAGCCTTAAATATGTGATTGGAGAAGATGTAACTGAGGCAGGGGAGTGAAGGCAGAATCACTTACAGATGTGGCTACAGAAAGATATTTTTGTGACAAGCTCAGTAGACAAAGGGTCAGGAAGTGCTTTCCGGCTTGCCAAACGTAAGCAATGTCTAATAGTTTATAAATGCATGAGCTATCTTTGAAACACATATCCATCTCTTTGCTAAGGGCCAGAGCATCATCTCCCCTTGGTTCCTGTTTTGTGATTCCAGCCACGTCACTTTAAATAGAGAGATGTGTGCTGGCCAGAGGAACAATTTAATCAGCTCTCAGAGCTATAATGTGAGTCCAGAGTTCTGCCACAAAATGACTTGTGAGATTTTTTTTTTTTTAAAAGACTGCATGTAGGTTAATTTTTTGCCTACCAAATGGCTTTTAAGCCTTTAGAGATTTATCTTGTCAATCTTCGGCTAAGAAGATTGAAAACTAAAAAACAAGAAAGTTATTGCCTTCTACCATAGCTCCAAGGCAAGGATCAGAAGGAAAAAAACTACAAGTACTGTGGAAAAATGTACTTCATCGATGCATTACTAGTTTTATGCATGGAGCTTCCCCAGTGCATGAAAACCTTTACTATCAATTAACAAAAGCCAAAGGTCTTCATAAGTGGTGTTCTCTGTAGCTCTTTGCCTCTGAGTTGTGTTAGTTCTGTATTTCTTTGTGCACAGTGAGTTCAGCTATGATCTTCCAATGGCCAGACTAAGCAAGGAGGAGTGATTTTTGCCAGAGCCAGCAGGATGGATCAACTGGTTGCAATGCTGAGGGCTGGTCTCAGCAGATCCTGCAGGGGAATAAGATCTACTGGGAGTTCCAGAAGTAAATTGGGAGTACTCAGAAGATCTGAAAAGCACAGCATAGCACACTTGCTGAATGCTGAATCTTCCTCTGTCAAGATCCTGTTTCAATTCTGCTTCAGTTAAGATTAAGATTTTGTTTGAATTAAGCACCTCTCCTATAAGGAAAGGTTGAGGGAACTGGGCTTGTTTAGCTGAGAGAAGAGAAAGCTGTGGGGAATCCTCATTGCAGCATTCCAGTACTCGAGGGGAGCTTATATGTGGGAGGGGGACTGACTTTTTTATGTGGTCTGATAGTGATAGGACAAGGGGGAATGTCATTAAACTAAAATAGGGGAGATTTAGATGCTAGGAAGAAATTTTTTTTACTCAGAGGGCAGCGAGGCCCTGGCACTGGAAGTATGGGGAGGGAGCAGAGGTTGTTTTGAAATGACAGGTACCCATGAATGGAATGGGGACGCTTGGAAGGAACAGAGACATTCTGGTTGTGTGCTAGCAGGAATTTATTCTCAGAAAGAGTGGTGAGGCAGTGGCACAGGCTGCCCACAGAGGTGGTGGAGCTGCCATCCCTGGAGGTGTTCAGGTGGAGGTGTATCACTAAGAGACATGGATAGAGGGCATGGTGAGGGTAGGTTGGTGTTGGACTTGATGATCTTGGAGGTCTCTCCTAACTTTAGTCATTCTATGATTCTACAATATCAGTTTGAGCACCTGTGTTCTCTAGCAGTTGCAGCCTTTACTGACTGACTTGGGAGATGTCTGAGCTTCACCATTGTCCCATGCCAGGCAGCTCACCACAGCCACATAATGGGGCAACCTGAAAATTTAAGCTCCCTGGGGGAATATATTAGAAACTAGGCTATTTTTGAAAGCATGTATAAATGCTACCTGGAAGTAAAAAAGACTTAGCAGAAGATTCTCATCTGTATTTTCAAAGACATTGCTAACTTGCCAAAGTTCTCTTTAATAGTGTTTCACACATCACAGACTTGAGACATTGAAAGACATCCCATCCTTTTAATTATTGTCTCTTTCTCTCAAGGAGATGTCACTATGGAAAAAACTATAAAAAAAGAAAGGGAAATAATGAATATCATTATGATAGGGAAAAAATAACAGGTAATATTCAAAAGGCAAACAAGGTTATTATGATCTGAAAGTCAGGAAAGGAATAATTTCAGCACCAATAAAGTTGTCATCATAAAAGCATTTTATAGAAAGGGCAAAGAAAGACTGCAATACAAAAGTATTCATAAAATCCAATTTGAGAAATAAGTGTATGTAGGAAGTCCAGTGTGTTCTGAATCTATCCATCAAATTCAGATAGATTTTTAATGCCATGCGTCCGTGTGTTTTAGATATCTGTGGAAAATAAATATTGTTTCATACTGTCTGCTGTATATAATTATCTTCAAATTAGAGCTTGGTGCCAAGTTGTTTGATAGTAGTTTGATAGTAATTAGTGAAAGGAGAGATCCTCTCACTATTAGCACTTTCCCTTGTGTGGAAAAAAAACCACCAATGAAGGTGTTTATGGAAGGCTGTCTTTTGGATTTAATAATAATGCTGACAATGATCTTGAATATCTTGTAGCCTTTCCCACCTTCAGATTGCCTTCTTAACTAATCACATTCTTATTCTGAAACATTTTCCTCTTCCTGTCAAGGAAATTGGCTCTGTGTGGACAGCTGAATGACAAAAGCAGTCAGTGTGTAAAGTCACTGTTATAAATAGCTGGGGAGGTCTGAAAGCTTTGCATCTGTGGTGTGTTCCAGTGCTCACTAGGCTTAGGGGTAAAGACCCCAAAGACTGGATGTCAAACCAAGCCCTCACAGGATGAGCAGGGACACACTGACTCTGTGGAAATAAGTCTTTCTCCAGCCCAGACCCCAGGTTGTTTGTCTCTGTGCTGTATTCTGGGGACCCTGTAAGAAAAAGCAGCGAGAAGTGAACTAAGTATGACCCAAAGATGTTTCTGCTCAGGATTTGATTCCTGGCCCTTTTTATAACCATTCAGCACCTGAGATCTAAGGCAACTTCAGATCCTTTTGGGGGTTTTGGAGATGGTAGGCTGTCTTGAATGCTTTCCATTGCTTTCAACAGCCAGTGGCTCTGAAACAGACTAAGAAGAGGTTAAAGAGACTTTGATCTTTCAGGCTGAAGCAGGAAGTAGGAAGAAAAAAAAAAAGATATTTTAGCAAACGTAGGGTATTTTTCTTATTCTTTTCTTTTTTCTTTTTTTTTTCTTTTTTTTTTTTTTCCAATCAGGGGTGTTTTTCCATTTCCACCTACAGTGTCTACAGCAAACTTACCTAGAAAGATTAGAGACACTTCAGACTTATTGCCATGTTCACATTTAACTAGCCTTGAGTCTGGAACTGCAGAGAACTACACTCAGTGCTCTCAAGTCCAAGTCCTTCACCTACTATTTTAAGAAAGTTGCCCCTGCAGGTATTAAATAACCACAAAGTGCTGCTGCAGCAGAGCTGAGGATTTTCTAATAATGTTAAAACTAACACATCAGGTTTTGCTTGGCAGCATTGGCACAAAATTCTGTTATGAACCACAAGTATCTCTTAAGCTCTCATAAAAATAAAGCTAAATACTTTCCTAGTGCCAGACCTGATGCTGGCTGAAGTCAATAGATGTGGCCTGTTGATGCCAATGGAGACACAATGCTTAACAGGCTGAAAATTAGCCTCATCTTGCCAGATGTTTCTAAAAGCCTTTCCAGAGCTCTCTGTGTACTGTAGCAGTATCTAGTAGCTTTTGGGTAAAGGAGGAAAGAAGATTTTCTAGTAACTCCTGAAAATAGTTGCGATTTTTGGTAAGCCTGTCAAGCTGAAATTTCATGTGCATTGTGCAAATGATAGCACCTGGAGAGATACAAATCCATATGGATTTTCCCTGGTGCACATTCAGCTGCCATCCATGGGAACTGTGCCTTTTTCAGGCAGTGGGAGAAAATTCAGCGCCTCTGATCTGAGGAGGAACGCAACACTTCTTTGGAGGAGACCAGTCTGATGTGCAAGACACTTTTAAAAATTCTCACTATAGCTTTTTAAGCAAACATGAAATCATTGCTGATAATGTTTGCCTTGCTGTCAGCGGTGATAGGAAGGTAAAGAATGAAAAAAGGAGGGATGGAATCCATAGCAATCTGGATGATTTAAGAAAGTATGTTTGTAATGCATGGAAATATTATTCCTCCAGGAAAAAGAAACTTACCAACAGAAGAGGCTGAGTCCTGGGAAGCCATCAGTCAGCTAAGGATGTGGTGCCAGAGTGGATCTGCAGCTCATGGGACCAGGATGTGATCTGTGAATGTTGTATATCTTTAAATGCATGCAATTTCTGCTTTATTTGCTTTACACTGGGCTCTTAGGAGTGCCTTTTCCTTTGAAGGGACCCTGGTGGCATCAGCCAGATGGCATTTCCACCACTCGGGGTAATCACAGAGAGGGAGCAGCAAAGCCAGGAGAGGTGTTTTATACAAAAGTGCCCTCTTTAACAGGGACACTGCTGTCTGTCAAAGGTTGAACTGATCTTTTCAGCAGTAGTTTTTTTGTCTTCTACCCACCTGCCTAATTTTCATGGTATTTGAAGGAATTAAGCATTTTTTTGGTGTGTCTTTCATATCATGCCAGCTTTAGACACTGCACTGGGAAAGTTTTAAGGGAAGAAAAAAAGCAGTAGCTGTTGACAGACACACAGACATTTTCTTGGGCAACCAGGGTAAAAAGCTGTCTTTGTGTGTTATAAGGCTATATTCTTGATGTACACAGTAAAATATGAGAAGATTTTTTGGTCTGATTGATTTTTCAGCCATGTTAATGAGCAGTATGTGAAGCAATTACAAATAATTAAGGTAATTATAAACCATGTAATTTGACAAAGTTGCAGTGGTAGCATTTAAATACTTGCCTATTTATATTAGGATTTTAAACTGGGGTCAAGTTTTACAGGCAGGATGTCAGGGAGAGGGCAATTTGGTAATTCTCTCCATGGTTATGGATGCAGGCATCCATGACAACATGGCAGGTCTGTCAAGTGTTTCCCAGAGTGCCCAAAGGCTCTGTCCAGACACTGGTCTTGGCAGGAGGTGTAGCTGAGCATCTGCTCATCCACTGCCTCAGGTGTGCTCAAGGTCCTGCCACAGCCCCTGCTTCCCAGCCACACATCCTCTTGCCTTCTGTCTGAAAATAACGGCTATGCGTGCCAAGAGCTGTATGTCAGAGCTCCTCTGAAACAGATACCTGTGCAGATTCATCTCTGTCATATGGTTGGGAATTGTTTAAATGAAGACCAAAAAGGCATTTTTATGCTGCCTGCTGCAGCCATGTATTTTATAACTTTGCTTAGAGCTTTCAGCCACTGCCTGAACTACAGATGGGGAGACAGGGAGGTACTGGTGAAGAAAATTTCAATTTCCATTCCAGTTGGTTTTTCTTGATGCCAACAGTTGCCCATGACACTTTCCAGTGGTCATGCTGTTGTCACAGCTGTATCCATTTGCTCAGCAGAGCTTTGGGGATAGTTGGAAGTTTCCAAAGTTACTCTTTTGCTTTCCAAGGAACTGAAACACTCTGAGAAAAAGAGAAACCTTTAAAGAAAGAATATGGAAAAAGAAGCCCTTCCTTCTCTCCTTAAAATCATAGAATCATAGAATTGTTTGAGTTGGAAGGGACCCTTAAGGGCCATTTGGTCCAACCCCCCTGCAGTGAACAGACACACCTACAGCTCCATAAGGTGCTCAGAGGTCCAGCTTGACCTTGAGTGTCTCCAGATTCACCCACCACCTCTCTGTGCAAACTGGGCCAGTGTCTCACCACCCTGATTGTAAACATTTTCCTTATATCCAGTCCAAATCTCCCTTCTTTTAGTTTGAAACCATTTTCCCGTGTCGTATCACAACAGACCCTGCTAGACAGTCTGTTCCCTTCTTTCTTATAGCTTGCCTGGTTTCTCAACAGCATGCTTCTAAACTGGTACTTTTCACAGCCCCATTCTTGCTCAGCCATCTTTGGACGCAGGAAGCAAAGCTTGCAGCTATCTGGAATCTTCCACATCCTCAAACTTCATCTATCCCACATTTTTTTACCCAGCAAAGAACAGTGTCAGAAGTCTTGTTCTGTCTCCCTCCTTGTTCTCCCTGTGAGATGTTAGGAAGTGCTGAGTTCTTGTCATCCTGCCCAACTCCTGGGATGTTGCTCATGTTGCATTAGGGCTGCACAGCTTGGAAAGATGCTTACTCTCTTCCCTATGCTCTACACCAACACATTTTCTCTATCTGAAAACAGCTAGCAATAAGTCCTCGGGTCTACCACTTCAGTTAATTCATGCCACTTTTTTGCTGCTCTGAGATACTCTCAGGCCAACTGGAATGGGATTGAGTTGGCAAGAAGGCGCTCAGAAATGCAACCCTCCAGATGCTTGCCTTGGCTATTGCATACTTTGATACCTCTTATTCCGCTGTTGAACACAGGAGAGATCAGCACTGAAATGAAACGTCCACCAGGACAGACAACTGTATAGAGCCTGTCTCCGTATTAAGGCTAGTCTACTTCTGCTGATGAACCACGTTGTTCTTTAGCCCAACCTGCAAGCCACGTGCAGATGCATCCCATGTAGCATCTTAAAGTGATGCTGTGGAAATCCACACAGATCGGTGTTAGCACAGATGTGTTAGCATATCTGTCAAAGCATGATGCATCTGATCTGAACCAACCTCCTAGGTCTCTCCTTGCTCAAGAGAAATTGGTGTGGCTAAAAAGTGGTTTGGATTAGTCTTAGGTTTGTTTGTTTATTTATTTATTTGTTTGTTTGTTTATTTATTTATTTAGAGCATGAAGGATCTTTCCCTACCTACTATACGAGGCCTTGCAAATTCTACCCTGGATGACACTTGCTATGAAGGATAGGAGTGTAAAGGGGATAACCACTTCCCAACTTACCGCAAGATGGGAATTTCTGCATCAGACCCCACTTTACTCCCAGAGTTGCAGACTTGTAGACGCTGCCTCTGCCTCCATTCCAAGAAGGGAAAGCATAATCTTTCTAGCTGCTCTTTCCCTGGATATAGAGGCACGTTCAGGTTGCTGAGTCTATCTTAATTGCAACTGGTTTGGATGTTTTCATGTAACTACAGTAAGTGCATCAGCCCTAGAGCAGCCGTGGGCCTAAAAGAGAAAATACAGGCAACTGTTTCCATCTAGGCACTCAGCCCATGAATCAGAGTGCTGGGGATTAACCTGGAAAGGCATTGCTGTTTTATTCCCATCACAGCAACAGTGATGCAGATATACAGCTCCCTAACTGAGAAAAATATGTGGAAAACTACTGCTAGACCAGATCTCAACAGTAACCTCATTCCCTTCAGCACCGAAACCTGCTACCTAATTCCACTGCACGAGATAGTTGTGCAGAAGTTGTGAAGCATCCATGCTCCAGAAAAGCTTTGGTAGCTTTTTCTAGTTGTGCAATTGCCTGTGGGAGCGGACAGGTAGGTCACAGCCTGGGGTCACTGCCCCAAAGTGCTTGGTGGTATTGAAGAATGAAACCTCACAAAGAGGCAGAGGAAGAGCCTCAGTTAAGAAGGCAAAACTGGAGCTGTCAGGAGGATGCAGCCTTTCAGTGTGGAGACCCAGCTAAGTCAGCTTGGCCTGAAAATTGTCTCAGCAGTTGTTTCCACCAGCGGGCTAGCTGTGAAGGGCACTGCTTGTCAGCTGCCACCACTGTTTCTTCTCTTTGCCTTAAGTGAAAGCTGAATGTGGCAGGCAGCTCAGGGAAGGAAAAAGAGCCTGGTTTATTTATTCCGTGCTTGCCAGCCCCATGGCTGAAGGCCCTCCCTAAGCAACAAGATTAGCAGTTTCAGGTCACTGCGACCGTTGCAAGCATCTGCTCTGACTAATAGCGTAATGGTGCGGCCATTTTAGCTCTGGGTTTGCTCGAGGCTCCAACACTTTCTGTATTCAGTCTGTTACTAGTCATATCATTTGCAGCATCTGTCAGAGGAAATGATGCTGAGACATTCACCCAGCCTGCCTGCGGGTTGGAGCAGGCCAGATCTGCTGCTGTTCTACAGGGTCTGTAGAACAGGGTCCCTATGCACCCCTCCAGCAGCCTGAGGTCAGTGTGAACCCAGGGGTGGACTCACCAGGACAGCAGAGACACAGAGAAAAATGAAATATGAGTCTTGCTACTGGTCTTTGCCTGCCCTGCTTACTGTTCTTCATTGCTCTGCTGTATCTTATTTCAGCTCCCTGGGGCTCTCTGGTTCCATGTATTTGGTAGACGTCTTCTACTCTAGCATTTCACACTCCAAAAAGTGTGAAAATGACTTCCCAAAGCAGGAGAGATACACCAGCAACAAGCACTGGCTGAACAGCTGCAGGTCCCTCCACTTCTTCTGGTTCCACATCATATCCTTCACTGTAGCATGGTCAGGAGTAGAGTATGCACACAGAATGACAGAGTTCATGTCCTGCATGGAGCACTGTACCAGCCAGTGAATAAGTGATCTGAGATCATGGGCTTTCTCAAGCTATTTGTACGTATTATTCTTGCAGTACAATAACTGGCCTTTGCACAAGGCCAAACCAAGCCCATTTTTTTCTAAATTTCTATCTCGAAGTAGATTGACTTGGGTACTAGAAGACATGAACTTCAAGTGGTGTTTTTCCTATGTGTGAGGAACACAGTGTCTTTCCCACTTGTCTTCTCTCCCAGATGAATGTGTCAGCATCCAATTCCGGTTTCAGTGCTGCTGCAGTCTCTCTTTCAACAAAAACATCTCTGGGACCTTGCTCTGTGTAGTTTCCTATTTGAACAAACTTGATGACTTCAGAGACATTCACTACTCTGTCACATGGGGTGTAAGCTGTTGGTGACAATACACAGAGCAACTGAATAATTTTATTACATCAGAAGAGTAGTTTTACCAAATACCCAGCTGAGATTTCTTTGACAAAACTGATCTGTGAAAAAAGCTGAAAACCCACCACCAGAAAATCAAGCCCTTTAAAACACCTCAATCATAAGTCCTAAGGCTATTATCTGGATCATAAAACACTCTGGAAATCTTAGCTATGGATTGTCTTTGTAGGATCTTCTGCAGGAGCTAGGGCAGCCTTTGGCATCCTTCAAAGAGCAAAAGAACAGAAAGAGGATCATTTTAAACATCAGACGCCTGCATGGCTGATTTCTCTACTGGTGGCTGTGAGAAATACTTGCTAAATTAATAGACCACATACCTTCTTTGTCGTGTAGGTTGAGTCTAGCTTATTAATTATGGTTCCATTCATTCTCTGCATGACTCTTTCTGGTCACTAGATGTCACTAATAACGAATGAGAAGGAGAAAACAAGTGGAACTTAGGAAAATTGCTCCTGAACACAGTCCCTGGGAGTATCTCTGTCCAGCCCTATGTCAGCAAAAGAATGGCATTTAAGCACATGCTTAGCTTCACTTTAACTGGAGTTAAAAGTATGTCCCAGTATTTAGTGGCATCAAATGCACTCAAGTGCTTCTGTGAACTGGGAGTCCAAGCTAGAATGTGTTTCTAAAGGAGATGTACTATTGCTTGGCCACTTCTGTGAACAGGAGTGTTTGTGTCAAGGACAAAGAACAGTGAAGGTCTTAGGTCTGATGTTTCAAGCCTTTGCTGCCTGACTTTGACACTCTTTACATAAAACCTACCTGGAGCAGGGGA